CCCCCCCCCCGGGCCCCCCCCCCCCCCCCCGGTTCCTACGCCCCTGGATGCACTGCTGTAAATCCAAGCACGGATGGAGGGTCTACAACACCTGACAACACCGTAGGCTGGGGAGCGAAAAATATAAAATATTGTCGTGCAAACTGCCAGGGTTTTACTTTATGATGCAATCAAGAACATATATATGAGGACAAATTACTACCAACTATAATATATATATATTTCATTTTACTATCGACGTTAATATAAATTAATTATATGTAATATGAAGATTATTTATTTCAAGACGGCGTTTATAAAATATGTTCCTTCTTTAAATATGAATACTAATAAAAAAATAAACATGGTTAGGAAGACTGGTGAATTTAAATATTTAACAATTATTCGCCGAAACGCCGAAGGCGATTATCGGTGAATAAAAACCGAGACTAAGTCGAGGTTTTTATTCACGATAATCGCAGAGCCAGAGGTGAATAATTGTTTTAGTATAATTTCATACGTGATTATTTGGAAAACAAAATGCACATTTAATTGACAAAACGGCTTCGGCCGCCATTTCGAAAATCGCTTTGGTGATTATCGCGTTATGAATATTCACCTCAACGGCAACCGATCAGCGTGGAGAATTTTCAATAATCACCCATGTAATTATACTAAAGTTTGATAATCGAACTCCAAACAATGTTGAAAAAAAAGACCTTGGGTTGCACAAATCTTTTGTTTTGGATTTTGAACGAGTTAGTGAAGAAGTACTTTCACACGAGACCGGAGGAACGCGGAACCGTACATACACAAATGCGTGCGGTCATCGTTAACTCGTACGGCCAATTCGTCCGGTTTCATATGTCCCGTGTCACTTGAAAGGTGATCATCATGCAAATTTTAGTACCGTGGATGATCACTTAGGCTATGTTTACATTGTATCGGATGCGCAGCAACGCAAAAACCATACCGGATAGGGCTTGTGGCATATGAATGATGTAATCATATCAGTTTCTTCATCGAAGCCAGGGTTCGTACATGTGAGGAAGAGTCAAATTCAAGGACATTCAAGGCTATCAGCAAATTCAAGGACTAAATAGTAAATACTGAAGAAAAGGGGTTAGAAAATCAGTAAAATCTGACGTTGAATTGTTCAAAACGCACCTTTAACGAGTTTCAAATAGCTTCGTCAGATATGAACATGCAAAATCAATTCAACAAAATGTCCGTTTTGAATGTCAAACAATTTCAGAAAATACCAAAACTAAAGCAAGAAAAATTGAAGGACTTTCAAGTACTTCTCTACAAATTCAAGGACATTCAAGGCCTTGAATTTTTGTTTTCAAATTCAAGGACATTCAAGGACTTTCAAGTTTTGTACAAACCCTGCGAAGCACCGGTGCCGCGTTCCGCTCTTCCAAGTGGTGCGTGTTGTGTCGGATTGGTTTTTGCAACGCTCTCGTTGTAAGGTAAACACCAATCGTAGAAATTTTTGGTTGAATTCGTGATTCAAGATGGCGCCCGGCAAACCAAAACTTGCTATTCTATCTAACCTTATTTACAGGTATAGCTTGCTCAATCTTTCAATTGACATCTGCAATATTTTTGTTTCTGGTAAATATATAAAATTAGAAAACTGTTTATACACTTGGGCCGTAACGTTTCGCGAACAAAGCAAAAACCGATCCAATACAATGTAAACATGGCTTAAGTAATGCATTACACCGGAAAACAATACGTTCACTCGCCTTATTTTTTAAGAGCAAATCGTGGACAGAACCATAGCATGCATAATAGACAAATTTGGATACCGTTGTTTACATCGTTATATATACTACCGATAACTCGCATGCCTAGTTCCGATTGTTCTATAGAAGTATAGCCATAGGATAGAACAAACGCAACTAAGCATCAGAATTATGTATAAGTGTTATTCACTCACGTAGATAATTCTAAAACTTGGGTATCTTTGTCCTATTCTAACAATCATAACTAGGCATGGCCATGGAAGCGAGTTATCTAAAGTTGTCAATTGGGTAAAAACAAACGTTAGTCAAATTTGTCTATGGCTTAGTGAACATTTGAACCATGTTTATTTTCCATTATCTACGACGAAATTTAAAAACTTGTAGCACTATCAGGGAGAGGCGGTGGTGGTGGAGGCGGTGGTGGCCCTGACCCACAGTTATTGGCAGGAAGTGGAGGAGGAGGGGGGAAGTGAATCTCGGGTTTGCCTTTCTTGTGATCACTGGAGGAGGTCCCTTCATCAGGACTTGGTAACATTGGGGGAGGGGGTAAAGGGAAGTCTTCGTTAAATGACGGACTATCTGGTCTTTGTAAGGGAGGTGGCGGTGGTGGGGGCGGAGTTATTCCACGAGGGGGATATTGCGGTGTGTCAAGACCATTTCTAGGTGCTTCCTCCTGAGATATTGGTGGAGGTGACCGAGTTGAGGGTGACGAGTTAGTATCTGTCGGTGCTATTCGTAGAACCTTCGGCAATGAGGGGGGTGGGGGAGGAGGGACTGAGTTACGTCCTTGGTTAGGAGGAGCGACTGAGTTAGCACCTTGGTTACTGAAAGATTTTCGCGGCGGTGGGGCTGGATCAAGAACAAGGGGTGCACCTTTATTTGAATGTTTAACTTCGTCTTCTTCTTTGATATTATCCAAGTTTCGTAATTTTTCATTTTCCACAAAGAAAGATCTCAGGCCAGAATGAGGAGTTTGTGCAGTTCTTGATGGAGAGAATGATGTAGGGGGTGAGGTCGGGGATTGTGCCTGAGAAATGAAAAAATTCGTATTCAAGGGAAATAATTCTGCAAACCTTGGGATTTAGTTCACCATGGCGCGAAAGATTTGCAAGGCCTTGCTAGGATTTATATAAACCAAAACACACATTTTAAAAAACTTGTGGATCAAGTACAAAAGGGTGGGATTCATGTATTCATATAATACAATATAAATGTCCAAAAATGACGTCACAACAATGCACAGTTTTACAGAAACCTTGTAACTGTCTGTTAGCTGAGGATTTGGTTAGGCTTGGGTCAGAATTAGGTTAGGACCATGCTCAGGAATGAGGATTTAAGTTAGGATCAAAATTCGGATTAGGTTTAAGGATTAGGGCAAGAACTAGGTTAGAGTTAGTGTAATGATAAGGATGAAGATTGCACTCAGGATAAAAGGATTAGGAATAATTACGAAATCACTGTCAGTATTTAAATTGTATTAATCTTAATCATATTAAATTATTCAGATTTAATTACCTGTTCAACTTCCGCGCCTTTCTTCCAAGCTTCCTGGAATAATTTTGCTAAAATCCTTGAACCTTGTACAGGTACCTCTTTCTTGCGGATAGAACCTTTTCTGTGCGCTGAAACAGATACATGTACTATTGTAAGTTGACAGGTGCTTGCTAGAATCTCGGTGAAATTACTACAAGCTAAACGTTTCCCCCATTCTGTTCCATTATTCCGTTGTCACATCCTCCCTCCAACACATACCTTCCGAATCTATTTGGTTATGAATACACAAACTCTAGTTTTAAAAGAACCAAGGATAATCTACTGCTGTACTAGACTAAATAACTTACTAATTCCTCTTGTATAAATTATTTTTAATTCTATAGGACTATACGGAAGGTCTTTTTTCAATATTTTATCAATCTCGTTCCCCGAGCATGCCTGTTCGCAGGTTAAACCTTAGTTTTAGAAAAAAAATTAATTCCTCTTGTCTAGTTGAGTACGATTTATTCAAAAGCTGTGAATTAGGTAGCAACAATGTAAGTATATAAGCTGATTCTATCTATATTATTCAATAGTAACATAAACCCTTCGATTGCTCTCGTGTTTGCAACGATAAAACGTATAGTGATAAGTTAAGAGATGCATACATTGTTTACGAAAGTGTACTCACATTGATCAGTAACATCAGAGCGTGCACGACCTCTTACAAATCCATTTTCCTGGAAAAACATTAAACAATTTTTAATTTTAGCTAACTATAACTAAATGGTGGAACAAAGAATTATTCATTCGTCAGCACTGCATGACAAATCACTGGTAAACATTAATGTTAGATTTGCAAACGTTACAAGTTTTAACACGTAACAATTTCGATTTGTGAAGCAGCTTTGCTTTTGGAATTTTTAAACGAAAAGCGAATGATATGGCATTCCAATATACAAGACGACAAAAATGTTCTGCAAATCGAGAACGAAAATTTTCCAAAAGATATTTTATTAAAGCACTGCATAGGTATTCTCCAGTTCTGATTTTGCTTTTGTAGAAAATATGCCAATCTTAGTAATTTGGCAAAACTTTCGATCCGTAAGCCTCGATCTTCAATGGTGCAAATATTATACAGAGATGACGGTCAGACTTAAATGAAGGAAAGCTTTTCCAAATAAATAAACATGCAAGGCGATTTCTTAAAAAACAAAACAATTTTATCACCATGGAAACCTACTATTTTCACAGTGAAGATTTTGAAAATTTTATTAAACCTGTAAAGATCCAAACTCTGAACTTGAACTTGATCCCGACGATAATGTTCTTGTTCTTTTGATTGTACCAACAGTCAAATCTTCCACCTCTTGATGAACACTGTTCTTATTTTCCAACATCTTATAACCAAACTAAACAAAACGTTGGAAACTAATAAATGTAATTGTATTGAGAAAAATTGAAAACCAAATTATGTCCTGCAGACATAATTTATTTAAAAACGTAGCGACCATGCAGACGTTTCAATGTATGACGTAAAAATGTTAAGCTCATGTTTACTTCTAATTATACATGCAAGTATCGTTTCGCCTATGTATATAATTTTACAACGAGAGCAGACAAACAGCATTTCTTGTAAAGCATAATTGGGTTTTGTAGCTAATTTGTATCATGCAGGGATCCATATGTATCACATTCTTCGGGAATATTGGGTGGAGCTTTAAGTACATATATTTCTCAGGTTTTGGGTGGAGCGGAGACTTGAGATGATGGTTCGTTGTTTTTGGGTCTAATGTCATTACGGATTTGATGATTTCCTTGGGATATCCATTACAAGTACAAGTACAAATACATTACAGTACAGTACAAAGACTTTTGTTTATATCCTTGTTGGTTTATATCCTTGTTGGCCTTAGGATAATATATTTTATTATATACACAAGGTCTGGATATGAGGTATTCTGCAATCTGATTGGTTCTCTACTAGCAGGATATTAGCTCATATCCTGCTAGTACAGAAAAACAAAATGGCGGCTAAAATTGAATTTCTGATGTTTTGCGAACGAGAAAACGGCAAGTTGTTCGCTTTTTATAGCCTCCACAGGATTAAAAACACAATTAAAAAACTCCCACAAATTGTTTTCAGGTTAGCAAATAAATTTTTAAAATTTAAAATGGTTAAAAATATATATTTTGGAAAAAATAATCGGCCGAAAGAGCGAAGATAAAAACATAAACAAAATAGAAAAATATTGAAAATATCCGAAAAGCAAAGTCTGTGAATTCAGACCTTGTGTATATAATAAAACAGTTATTCCACTCACTCTCGTCGAATATGAGCGATAGCCGATTCGGCGCTACGCGCCTCATCGGCTATCAGCTCATATTCGACTCGAGTTCGTAGAATAACTGTTAATTAGACACCTTTAGTATTCTACATCTAATTGTACCAAAATAAAAAAAAAATATCTAAAATTTAGAACTTCCAGTCTCTATAGTTTCTAGTTTCTACGTAGTTGATGAACACTGTTTTTATTCTCCAACATCTTTTATCCAAACCAAATTATATAATAAACGATGCCCTGTTGTATCGTTTCTATGTTTCGGGAACTTAAAGGGTTTAACAGCTTTCCCTTCTTTCTTAATAGTTAACATTTCAGGAAATTAAGTTTCGCCGCATTATTACATTTTACATTACCTTTCCCACTCGTATACAGGTAACCCATCTTTGCATCGTTTTAGCATCACTTGCACACAGGCACTTCACTTGTCTTGATTCAAGATCTTTCGAAATTGAAGGCTGGAGAACGAAAGAAATAATGGAGAAACTTCATGAATTGTACAACTTGTTGCAGAATCGTATTCAATTCAAAGATATGAAAAATATTTTCATATTAGTATGAAAAATAGTAAATGAGCAACCTAAGCAATCCTTACCTTTACAACAAAGCAATGATCCGTGGGAGCTTTTTGATTTCGTTTAAATTCCGCTGTTGTGTAAACGTAGGTACTCTCAAACGACACAAGACAAGACATGTTTCGCTGATTCTAGAACATTTCAAGACATATTATAAGATTATAAGATTAACCATTTTTATATTCGGGAAATTATATACTGTATATATACTTGGGCACACATCTATATTTTGGTTGTAAAGTTTAACATTATGAGAAATTATCCAACCTTTGTTTTTCCTTTTGGTGTGTAATAAATTCCTGATGCTCTCAAAAGAAAATAATGTTTCTTCCACGCTTTTCTTCCTTCTTTCAAATACAACACTCCATCAAGGTTAGGAAGACGCATTGCATCAGGTTTGAAAAACTCCTGCAGAACAAACATGTGTAAAAATGAAGAAATGGTGACAAAATGCAAGTCCTTAACCTCAAATGCAGTGCCGTGTAGAAGGATGTTAACTGCCATACAAAGCAATAAACAACTTACGCTTATTAACGTATCTTTACTTTGTTCTGCTAATCTTGCTGAGCCTTCATGTGTATCACTTGATAGCAAATAATTCTGAAAAAAACAACATATTAATAATTCTTAAAATTTGAAAATAAAGCAAACTTATAATATATTGTTACGAGAACTAATGCAATGAGCATATCTCTTATAATTATTACATTGTTTCTGATGTTGAGAGAATGAGAGTATATCAACACAAAAAATATTATATACATAATAACATTAGAAGCATAACAGTAGAGAAACAGATATACCAATAACATTTCTGATGTTCTGATGGGATTGAAAAAATATATCCTCTTTTTACAGGTGTTGTGTATTTATTTAAACAAGTTTAAGAACCTCAAGCAAGTTTACTGATTTATTAAAATTCAAATCAGACATTAATTTACTCTACCTGTGGATTTTTAAACAAAACATATTTATCTCTTCTCATCGTGAATACTATTTGATTATCAGTTTCACGTGGCCACTGAGAGACTATATCCACTATACACTCGTGATCTTCTAAAACACGATCTATAATAGGATTAAGAATGTTAGGTGTTGGGTTGTCTGTGCCAATAGTGAGCTTTGGCCGGTGTCTTCTGGTAAGCGTAAAAGAGCTACTATCGTGGACTCTTTTCTCCGACGAAATCCATTTAAGGCTTCAGAAAAAAACTTATATGACGTTTCTGCTGGGAGCAAAGTGAGCCCGCGAGGTGTAGAAGAGACCATCGAAAAACGGCTTACTGTATTTTGCGAAACGAAACTTTGCGAAACTGTATTTTGCGAAACTGTATTTTGCGAAACTGTATTTTGCGAAACTGCATTTTGCGAAACTGTATTTTGCGAAAAAGTATTTTGCAAAACTGTATTTTGCGAAACTGTATTTTGCGAAACTGTATTTTGTTATGATTCTGCTAGTAGAGTTGGCAAACATTTGTTTATAAAGACAAAATAAATCAAAGACAAAGTGTAGTACGTTGCTTTAAATGCTTATACATGTACATATAAAATATGGTGTGGATTGATTTTGAAGGAAAATATGGCGACACCACCATATAGAGATTATAAATAACACTAGAGGGGGCATCGTAATCTTAATTCTGTCAAAGAAAGGGAACGCGTCTATTGGGGGCAAAAAATTAAAATGCTAAAATAAGAGAGGGTTTGAGCCAATATATCTAAATTCTTGTTTATGGCAGTTAACTGAGTTCTGTTTTGTTTTTCGGCAATTTTGATATTTTCAAGAGAAATTAATCGTTTGAATTCAAAATTTTGGTGGAATGTTTGAAATAATGACATGCAAAGCATATAATACACCCAGTTTTGTGAGCCTTGTTTTAAATTTTTCTGGTTTCAAGTGCAACCCAAGACTTGTGTCAGTGGTGTTTATTCGTCATTTCAATTTGCTTCCCCCCACCCCCCCCATTACCGCGCTCCCAAATTTCACCCTCGATGCGCCCTATATCATTATTTATAATCTCTATGGACACCACAGCCATGACGTACTTTATAAATCAGTGAACAAAAGAATTCAGAAACATTTGATGTAGTTGCAATTTCGCCATTTTCACAACATCAGTTAACTCCAACTTGTTTTAGCATTTTAATTTTTTGCCCCCCAATAGACGCGTTCCCTTTCTTTGACTGGGTTTAAGAAGATTACGATGCCCCCTCTAGAGTTATTTATAATCTCTATATCGTGGTGCCGCCATATTTTCTTTAAAAATCGATCCACACCATTTTATATTATTATTATTATTATTATTATTATTATTATTATTATTTTATTATTAAAATTTATGGTTTCTCCCAAAAGGGTTTTTCAGAACCCATTTACAAAATTATTTTATAAAAACTACAATTTTAAAATATTTACAGTTTCTACAAAGTTAGGAATAAAAATGACTGATATCTAAGTTTTTAATAGTCTAAAATAGGAAGTAGTCTATAGTCTAAGTAGACAGTAAGTGTTCTTTAAGTTGACTTTTAAATGTCTTAAGTGATGTACATTTTTTTAGCTCAGTGTCTAAGTTATTCCAAATTGAAGCTCCTCTAAAAGCAAATGACCGTTGCCCTGACGCTGTTTTAAACAATGGTATCTGTATTGAGTTGCAGTTCCGCGTAGACCGATTATGAATACAAGATCGTTTCTCAAACATGTCACAAAGATATTTCGGCGCTAAGTTG